CGACCTGAACAAGCTCGAGCCAAGGAGGGGGCCGAGGGAGGGACCGAGAACAACGACAAGGATGCCCCTCGACTCCCTCTCCATCCACATCTCTCTGACCCCATCCGTCTCCATCTCGTTCCCCCCCTCCCCCCCCTGGTTCCCTAATCACTCAACTCCCTATCCCCTTCCTTCCCTTCCCTCCCCCCCCATCTGGCCGCATCCATCTCCCCACCCCCCAGACCTCCACCGACGGATCCTCCTCCTGCTACTTCTCCTCCTCCTCCTCCTCCTCCTCCTCCTCCTCCTTCTCCTCCTCCTCATCATCGTCCAACATCACCATCACAAGCATCATCATCATCATCATCAGCATCAGCGTCATCATCATCATCATCATCATCAGCAGCAGCAGCAGCATCAGCAGCAGCAGTATCAGCACAAGCATCAGCATCAGCATCAGCACCAGCATCAGCATCATCATCAACATCCTCATCCTCATCCTCAGCACCAGCATCAGCATCATCAGCGACTGTAGCAGCATCGCATCAGCATCAGCATCAGCATCAGCAACAGCATCAGCAACAGCATCAGCATCAGCATCATCATCAACATCCTCATCGTCAGCATCAGCACCAGCATCAGCATCATCAGCAACTGTAGCAGCATCGCATCAGCATCAGCATCAGCATCAGCAACAGCAACAGCATCAGCATCAGCATCAGCATCATCTGCACCATAATCGTAATCAACAACAACAACAACAACGACATCATGATCGCCATCATCATAACCATCAACGTAATCATCATCAGCCTCCTCCTCATCATCCTCATCATCATCCTCAGCATCATCGTCATCGTCATCATCATCACCATCCTCCTCAGCATCATCATCCTCATCATCGTCATCAGCATCAGCATCTTAATGATCACCACCCTCACCCTCACCCTCACCATCAGCATCACCCGCATCATCATCACCACCATCGTCGTCAACTTCCTCCTCATCCTAATCCTCCTCATCCTCCTTCTGATCATCATCATCAGCAACTCAGCATTACCATCACAAACAACATCATCATCATCATCATCATCAGCATCACCATCATTAGCTTCGGCACCAGCATCATCATCACCATCAGCATCACAATCACCATCACCACCATCCTCTTGCTCATACTCATTTCCATCAGCGTCCTGATCCCAATTCCCATGGGAATTTGATCCTCATCATCCTCACCCGCATCCTGATCCTCAGCATCCTCATGTGCATCCTCATGCGTTTCATCAACAGCAGCAGCATCAGTATCAGCATCATCATCATCACCATCATCGCCACCATTACCATCACCATATCATCGCAACCACTACTACCGCCCCCATCACTACCATCATCATCATCATCATCAGCATCATCATCATCATCAGCATCATCATCATCATCATCATCGTCGCCATCATTATTATCAGCAACATCATCATAATCATCGTCACCAGCATCATCATACGTGTATCATCGTCCTCCCCATCATCACCATCATCAACAACATCAACTTCATCATCACCACCATCATCACCATCCTCATCAGTATCATCATCCTCATCATCGTCATCATCATCAGCATCTTAATGATCACCACCCTCACCCTCAACCTCACCATCAGCATCACCCTCATCATCATCACCATCATCGTCGTCAACTTCCTCCTCATCCTAATCCTCCTCATCCTCCTTCTGATCATCATCATCGGCAGCTCAGCATTACCATCACAAACAACATTATCATCATCATCATCAGCATCAGCATCACCATCATTAGCTTCGGCACCAGCATCATCATCACCATCAGCATCACAATCACCATCACCACCATCCTCTTCCTCACACTCATTTCCATCAGCGTCCTGATCCCCATTCCCATGGGAAGTTGATCCTCATCATCCTCACCCGCATCCTGATCCTCAGCATCCTCATGTGCATCCTCATTCGTTTCATCATCAGCAGCAGCATCAGTATCAGCATCATCATCATCACCATCATCGCCACCATTACCATCACCATATCATCGCAACCACTACTACCGCCCCCATCACTATCATCATCATCATCATCATCATCATCATCCTCAGCATCATCGTCGCCATCATCATCATCATCATCATCAGCAGCATCATCATCATCATCATTATCGTCACCAGCATCATCATACTTGTATCATCGTCCTCCCCATCATCACCATCATCAACAACATCAACTTCATCATCACCACCATCATCATCATCCTCATCATCAGCATCATTACCAGTATCATCATCATCATCGTCGCCATCATCATCGTCATCACCATCAGTATCTACCTCCTGTTCCTCCTTCTGCGCCTCTTTCTCTCTCTCTTCACGTCCCTCACTTTCATCCTCCTCATCCTCCATTCCTTTTCCTTATAAATCGCTCCTCCCTCTCGCACCCCGAGGCTGGTCACAAGGGCGGGCCAGGCGGGTCGCCTGATACTGCCTCAAAACTTATGATCCTGCAAGTTCAAAGCTGCAAACGTTTCACGGATGGAGGGCGGTCTGCTTTTAGAGCGTGGCTCTCGCTTTCGCGCCGCGCACCTTCGTTCGAAAAAAATGCAAGAGCTTCCCGGATGGAGGGTGCTCCGCTTAAAACATTCGGCTCTCGCTTTAGCGCGGCGCGCATTCGTTGTTCCCAAGGTTATACGAACTTCAGATGGAGGGCGGCTCCTTTTCACGATGCGGCTCTCGTCTCGGCGCCGCGCATATTCGTCCTAAAAGTTCGCCAGGGTTTCACGGATGGAGGGCGGTTCCTTTTCAAAATGTGGATCTCGCCCTAGCGCGGCGCACATTCGTCTTCAAAGTTTGCACAATTTCACGGGTGGAAAGCGGTTCCATTCCGAAACATGACTCTTACCTGAGCGCGGCGCACATTCGTTATAATAGTTTGCAGAAGGTTCAGGGGTTCTCATGATAAACGTCCAGACGTGGTTTTTGGCACGATGTCGGAATGTCAGGGCGCGAGAGTCACGTCGACTCGCGGTGTTGAAGTCCCAGGGATGGCTGTCTTGCGCGATTCCGGATCGTCGAGGCGCACCAGTAACTGCGCTTCGCGGCGTTGTACTCCTAAGAACTGAGTTCTGACACAATTCCAGATTTTCAAAAACGTTGTTCGTCCAACGGGACATTTCCCGAAGTGAAAATCAATTCGTTCAGGGGCCTATGATGAGGGATCTTGGGGGGAGGGCTTACTGCAATATCGTTGGCGAAACTCGGGTTTACACTGGTCCTCCTCCTCCTCCTCGCACCGTCCTACCCATCATCTAATTTCCACCATCCTCCCCTCCCCAACCTCACCACACCCCACCCCTCCCCCTTCCCCTCATCCTCGTCACACTCCTCATTTCCTGCCTCCTCCTTCTCCTCCTGCTCCATCTCATACTCCTCCTCCTCCTCCTCCTCCTTCTCCTCCTCCTCCTCCTCCACATCGTCCCCGTCCTCATCCACATCCTCATCACGATCGCCATCCATCATATTCATTGTCGTTATTAGTATACCCTCCCTGTCTCACCATCAGACGTGTCTGGAGGGCGGGCCAGGTGTTTCGCCTGAGACTTCCTCACCACTTATGACCCTGAAGCTTGAAATCCGCAGCAGCCTCAAGGATAGATTGGGCTGGTGTTGAAAATGTGGTTCTCGCCTCGACGCTGCCCACGGTCGTCTTAAACATTTGCAAGTGCTTCTCGGAGAATAAAGCTCTAGCCTGAACGCCGCGTAGGTGCACTTCTGAAGTCTGTAACAGATTCAGGGGTGGACGGGGCCGTTTCTACAATGGAACTCTCGCCTTAGCGTCGCGCACACTCGCTCTGAAAGGTTACAACAGGTTCATGTATGGATAATGGCTCATTTCAAAACTGTGGCTCGCACGTTAGTGTCGCGCACGTTCGTTCTAAACGGGGGCAGGCGGCTCAAGGACACAAGTCAATTCCCGTTTCAAATTTGGGCTATCGCTTCAGCGCCGGGCACATTCATCTTCACAGTTTGCAGAGTTGTGGGCGATCTCTTCTCAAAGCGGGAAGGCTTCTTACAGCTTCAAGACCAGCAACTTGCACACATGACAGCAGCTGCACAGAAGAAGAGCGGCTCCTTTGCAACATTGGGCGTTCGCTTGAGACTTCTGGATTTCCAAAATTTGAACAGACGCAGAAGCTGCATAGACGGAGGGCGGCTCTTATTCGACATGGGGCTTTCATTGAAGACTTCCTCGACGCTTATGGCCATGTGCGGAAGACTGGGCAATGCTTACACAGGTGGGGCGGTCCTTTCTCAAACGGGGATATCGTTGGACACCTGTTCGAACTGTATGGTCATACCCATGCGCGCTGCTTATTACTCGCTGAAAGATGCAAGGCGTCCCACTCCTTTTCTTCATGACAGGCCTACCGCTTCACTGGCAGGCACATGGGGTGCTGATCGTTCAAGAGGGCGCTGTGCAAACTTATGACGAGGGGACTTTGGACGGGAGGGTGTATTGAAGCGTCGCTGATGCATCTTGGTTTCACTCTGGTCCCCCTCCTCCTCCTCATCCGCCTCCTCCCTCTCCTCCCTCGCTCCTCCACCAATCCAACCATCCTCGCACCTCCCTCCTGCCTCATGTCACTTCCCTCCTGTCAACTTCTTCCTCAAGCAGCCCGTCTCCCTCTTCCCTTGTCCGTCTTCCTTCCTCCTCCTTTGTGTATTATGTTTTATGTGCCTCCCCGAGCGCATCAGCGAGGCGGGCAAACCTCGTGCGTCAGCATGCACCATACAACACGACAACTAGTCGCACGCCCGGGAACACGAGGAATGCTGCCTGTAGCCTGTCGTGCGAAGTCTAAAGCCTCATCCTCATCATCGTGTTCCTCCAGCCCCTGCTCGTCCTCTTACTCGTCATGCTGATGCTCCTGCACACCTCGTCATCAAACGTCATGAACATTTCAATGATCATCATCCTCCTTCCCCTCGTGCTCCGTGCCTTCAGCTTGCCTGCGCGCTCGCCCGACAGCTGAGATTCGAACACCGGCACGAGCGTCTCCAAGATGTGCGGCAGCCACTGTCGGCCGCTTTTGTACGGAAAGCCTGTCGCCCAACATCCCTTGCCTGTCCCGCGGCAGGTAGCTCACACACCCGCTTATGTGAGCGTGCTCGCATCCAAATATGTCAGCCGGCGTGGAGCCCAGAGAAAGTTACCGCACTGTGGATGTGCAGGCACGGTGGTGCAGTCTGTGTGGTGCAGCACCTGTGAAGCAGGCTGTGTGATGGAGTCGATGCTGTGCAGGCCATGGGCGCATGCTGCGGCGGAAGCTGCGTGGCGCAAGCCGTGTGCCGCACGCCACGTGGTGCGCACGGAGACCCCACGAGGTCCACACCGGCGGCCAGCGGCGCGGGGACCCAGAGAGCCCAGCCGGCGCGCGGTGGGCGACCACCAGGCGCCCACCGCCAGCGCCCGCCGAAGGCCCGCGGTCGGGCGCCGTCCGGGTACGCACGCAGCGTGCACTGTGCATTGCACAGAGGGTGGACGGGCACGGGCGGGCCTCGGCCAGGAGAGCATCCCTCAAGAACGCGAGGCCCTCCGCCAGCCAAAACCTACAGAACGTCCAACAAGCACGAAAAACATCAGGGTGCCCCCTCCCCGAAGCGACCTCGATCTTGTACCTCGGTCCGACTGTGCGCCGTATGCATGTGCATGCACAGAAAGGGTGGGTGGATGAGACGCCTGGTCCACACTGGGAAGCCATGGACCACACCCCTGGCCAAACACAAGCTTCGACGACTCACATACAGTATCAGACAAGGCAATAAGCCTGCGTAGCTTACAATCGGACCTAGCACGGAACCGCATCCTTCAAGAGCATGAGACTCTCCGCTTGCCAAAACACCCCCCACAAGAGAAGATCACTCAAAGGGTGCCCTCCCCCGGGATGCACACCACAGCATCCAACAAGCACGAAGGACGTCAGGGTACCCTCCCCGAGGAGGAAGGCAGGGGCTTTCCTGGCCACGGCGGGCCTCGGCCGCGAGGAGGCTCCCCGACCTGGGCCCGAGGATCGGCCTACCACCAATACTACGACCACTACTGTTACGATGGCGATTACAAGTGCTATTGCAAGTGCTAGAACTCTCACCGCTACGATTGCTCTTGCTAGGACTGGCTCCCCAGGGTTGACGGAATGCAAGTTACACACGCTGTGCCCCATACAATGGGAGGGTTGAGTGAAGTAGTAACAACAGTACCCGAGCTCGCCCCCTAGCCAGACCACTACTACTGCATCTACTACTACTACTACTACTACTACTACTACTACTACTACTACTACTACTACTACTACTACTGCTACTGCTACTGCTACTGCTACTACTGCTACTACTGCTACTACTATTACTGCTACTACTACTACTACTACTACTATTACTACTACTACTACTACTACTACTACTACTACTACTACTACTACTACTACTAGTAGTAGTTAGTAGTAGTATAGTAGTAGTAGTAGTAGTAGTAGTAGTAGTAGTAGTAGTAGTAGTACGACGACGACGACGACGACGACGACGACTACTACTACTACTACTACTACTACTACTACTACTACTACTACTACTACTACTACTACTACTACTACTACTACTACTACTACTACTACTACTACTACTACTACTACTACTACTACTACTACTACTACTACTACTACTACTACTAGTGCTACTACTACTACTACTACTACTACTACTACTACTACTACCAACAGCTAATACTGCTGTTGCTAGTCCTGCTGTACCTGCTACAACCAAACATACTACCGCCAACAAGGGAAGGGCGCCCAGCGCGTGATTTCAGGACGAGCCAGAAATCTGTGTGGAAGCCCGAACACAACAGTTTTGCTCGGCCAGTCCAAACCAGCCCACCCGATCAGGTCGGCGGTGCCTGGCTGTATCAACAGGGGGCCGGCGGCTGGGGCGCTCCAACTCTGGTGGACTACCAGGAGGCGCGGCAGCGACAGGGAGAGGGGCAACGTGCACGGCCCGCCTGGGTGAAGTTCTTGTACGGCAACTGCCTCACGAAAATCACGATCTCTGCATGAGATCCAGCCGAGGGCAGCCCCTGCCAAGAGAACCACAACGAGCGTACACGACAGAGATTTCCAACCCGCCAGTGAAAGATCATGGAGGGAGATCGCAAGGTCGAGGACTGGGCGGAGGAGTGGGAAGAGAAGCAGCGAGCGCGAAAGAAGTAAGGAACCCATCCAAAGCACTTCGATACACACATAATCACATAATGGACACCAAGTGCCTTGCAGCTACAACAGCACGTACACGCACATACTCACAATGAGGCGCGACGCATTCGAGCGCGTACACGCACTCAATGTGCAAAAGCAGTACATCCGCAAACGCACAAACAGTGTGAGCAAGTGAATGGCCTGAAACCAACGCACGCAGCCTATGTGAGGTGGAATTTAGGATCAGATTCCCGACCGCATCGATGTATTTATTTATCTGCCCTGGGAGGGTGCACTGTCGCCTGTCGTGATTAGTTGCGTTCGCGATTGCACGAACTCAACTCTGGCAAATCTATCTAACTTGCACGTGATGTCTTGGCTGGGCCAACTGGGCCAACACAGCTTAGCTCATCCTTGCCCCTTGCTGTGCCATTCATTCACAGCGTAAGGCTTTGGCAGACAGCCTGGAATGCATCAAGGCAAGATGCAAGCCCGCTGAAAGACATGTCCCACCCAGAAGGCGACTGCCAAAGAGCACGCGACGGAATCTCACCAAATACCCCTGTCCGGCCGCGGCGCGTGAATCACCACAACACCGACCGAACTTTCACTCAGAACGCAGACCGTGACCCAGACCGTCTGAGAGTGCAGCGTCGAATCAGATTGCAGACCAAAGGCAACCGCAAAGCGGTAGCCCAAACCATTCAAAGGAAAATAAGCGTTTCACAAAAATGTCGATGAATTGCCATGTCTGCTGCACCAGTATTCACTGGGCCATGGCATGCCTCAACAAAAAACAATAGGTTAGACCATGCAGCGGAGCGCGTATTGTGAAGGGGGACTGGTGGAGCAACCTGGAAACGCAACCAAAAAAACGTGCGCAACACCAACGATTCGGAGCATGCAAAAAAACGGACGACACCGAACTCAGATGGCATGTTGGGATCGAGTGCCGATCTGGTGAACCGTTGAGATCGCACCAAAGCGGACTCCATGGATGCCGTGGTTCTCAAGTCGTGCACGAAAGCATGTGCGCGCGCCCAAGCCTGCATGTGCACGCGCCTTCTGCTCGGAAGGAGCCGCCACGGAGGCCTCATCATCCTCTTTCTCCTCCTTCCCTCATCTTTATCCTCCTCATCCTCCTCCAGCTCACTGTGCTTCTCCCTCTTTTTTTATCCTGTACTTCCTCCTCCCTTACTCCACCATCCTCGTGAACTCCCTTCTCCCCACCCTCCTGGGTGGTGGTCCGACCAACGAGCTGAAGTCTGGAAGGGAAAAACGCAATGATCCGAAAAAGAAAAGGATGGCCGCACAGACCAGCGCATTTCGGGGATGGACAAACGTCCCTTTAGTAAAACGTGGTTTAGTGGAAACGACTTCGGGCCCAAACCTGGCGGGCGCAAGCCTGGAAAATAACGGCCACGGCGCCCTCACGAAAACCGAAAACGGACAATTCACTAATCGACGTGTCACTGTTGGGGGTTCTGTCCACCCCCGAGCATTACGTGCGAAGCGTCTGACAGCAACACCATAAGAATCGGAGCGAGGGGGCCGCACGCGCTTACAAAGCATCCGAGGGAGCGGCGGTCCACCGTCGCTGGCCTGAAAATATCTTCACTGCGGGGGGTCAAAGGCCAGAGGATCCCCCCCCCCCCCCTCCCCTGCAAACAACGCCGAAGGAGGGGGCCAAAAACCAGGGGACCCCTCCCCCCCCCCCCCAAAAAAAAAACACCCCCCCTAACCCCCCCCCACCCTGGGAAGAACTTTGGGGGTCTGGAAGACCGTCTGGACCCCCCGTCCAAGAAAATTAATTGGGAGGTCCCCCCCAGGAACATTAGTTTGGGGAGTACGCCCCCCCCCCCCACACCCTAGTAAATTAGTGGTGGGGGGTCGGGACCCCCCCCCTGGGAAACTCAGTGAGGGCGGTTCCGAACCCCCCTGGAAAAACGATGGAGGGAGGTCCGCCCCCCCCTGCGACGACGACGACGACGACAAAGACGACGACAAAGACGACGACGACCACCACCACCACCACGACCACGACCACGACCCCGACCACGACCACGACCACGACCACGACCACAACGAGCACGACGACGTCAGCGGCGGCGGCGGCGCCGCACCTGTCGCCAGCGACCGCGCCAGGCGTCGGCTCGATGGAATACTTTTAGGGGGCTCGGTCCAGCCCTCTGAGAACCCTGCCATGGGACCTGCCCCCCGCTGTCCCGCACACCCCTGAGGCCGACCGCAGGAGCTCGCCCCGTGGTGCGCTGAAGACCGAGTCCGACTCAGGGCGGGACGAGTGCAGAAGTGGGGGGGGTCACGCGGTCGTCGGCCCATGTCGGTTGGAGGCGGTGGCCAGGACGAAGATAAAATCGGACGAGGACACATCGGGAATCTCTGAGTTGCGGCGGCTCTGGAAGATGTCTCGGGCGCAGCGGCCTTCTCAGAGCGTTCCGGAGCGCTCTTAGAGCGTTCCAGAGAGATCTGGAACGGACTTATCCTCGTCCTAGCCCCGCCCGAACAACGGCGGGGCGAATGCGGAAGTTGGGGAGGGTCATATGCTCGTCTGTCCATTTTGGAGGCGGTGCCCAGGGGGGCGGACGCAAGCCCACGCATGGCTACGATACAGAGAGAAGCCTGATGCTACCGTGGAGAGTCCAGCTCAGGACTCGCCCTCTGGCTTGGAAGGCTCTGGCTGGGAAGGTGAGGCGGCCGATGTCGCGCCGCTGTCCCCCTGTCTGTAGCTGGCCGCGGAGAAGGGAAGCACCCAGGACGACGAGCGCAGCATCGTGGAGAACGGGTGCATCATCGTGGACTCGGACGTGGACGCTCACTTGGTAGCCCCAGCCGCGGGCGCTCTGGATCCATCGCGGCGCGTGTGCCGGGCTGCTACGCTGCCGTGCCTGGGCGAGGGCGGACTGAACAAAATCCGACGGAGCAGCGAGCCAGAGGTCTAGTTTACCCATGAGTGCCATCGCTTTGCGAACTGACCATTCACACTCCAATTCCCATTCCTCCCTCCAGTCTCCTCTTTCTCATTCTGGACGACCAGGCGGACCGTGAAGAAAGATCAGATGGAAGCTCGTCTTCGGATCAAAGCTGCAGCGGAGCAGGTGGATGAGCAGAATACAGAGGATCCGCCAGCTGAGGTTGCCCCTGGTACGGAGGACGGGGGCGCGCTTGCGACGCAGGAGTGGGAGTAACCTATTCAGTACTCATCGTCTTTCCGTCGACATCGGCTGCTTCAGCGTGAGGTTGCTGGCTTGCAGCTAGAACCACTGTTCATCGTGTCTGGTGCTGTTGTAACGCCAATGTATACCGGGCGCATGGTTGACGGCTGGTTTGAAACGAGCATGCCTGAGGCCTCAGGCGTGAAGTTGATGTTCAGAACAATTACACCTAATTCTACAGAGGAGACGCGGCAGGCAGTGCGGGAGCAAACAACGGCGCCGCCGATCCGTCCGCTGCTGCTGCTGCTGCTGCTGCTGCTGCTGCTGCTGGCGCTGGACGGTCACCGCCAGGGTACAAGGAAAGGGAGCCTGGGGGGGGGGGGGGCGGGCGGGTGGAGGTTGTTCGAGCTTCCGGGCGAGTGGAGGAGAACCTGCCGGCTGTGCGGAAACTTGGGCGCCTGGCCACTGGGCGCCCCGACCGAATAAAAAAACGAAGTTCGATTATCCCGGCAAAGCAACCTAACAGCGATGTGTAGAAGCATATATGAAAGCATTCCCCTTAAGATTCAGACGAAAATCCAGTTGTAGAATTCTGCTGTTCTCGCAGTCGTAGTCGCATTCGCGATGACAGTCGCAGCGGCAACGGCAGTCGCAGTCACAGCCTCAGCCTCAGCCTGCCTCAGCCTCAGCCTGCCTCAGCCTCAGCCTGCCTCAGCCTCAGCCTCAGCCTGCTTCAGCCTCAGCCTCAGTCTGCCTTCAGCCTCGGCCTCAGCCTCAGCCTGCCTCAGCCTCAGCCTGCATCAGCCTCAGCCTCAGCCTCAGCCTGCCTCAGCATCAGCCTGCTTCAGCCTCAGCCTCAGCCTGCCTCAGCCTCAGCCTCAGTTGCTTCAGCCTCAGCCTCAGTCTGCCTTCAGCCTCGGCCTCAGCCTCAGCCTGCCTCAGCCTCAGCCTGCCTCGGCCGCAGCATCAGCCTGCCTCAGCATTCAAAATGTGGCCCAGGAATGGAGTTCTGGGAACTAGAAGAACACGAAGTGGCCTACAGTTGGCTCCGGGCATTCAAAATCATGCCCAGGAATGGAGTTCTGGGAACTTGAAGAGCACGAAGTGGCCTACAGTTGGCTCCGGGCATACAAAATGTGGCCCGGGAATGGAGTTCTGGGAATCGAAGAGCACGAAGTGGCCTACAGTTGGCTCCGGGCATTCAAAATGTGGCCCGGGAATGGAGTTCTGGGAATCGAAGAGCACGAAGTGGCCTACAGTTGGCTCCGGGCATTCAAAATGTGGCCCGGGAATGGAGTTCTGGGGACTCGAAGAGCACGAAGTGGCCTACAGTTGGCTCCGGGCATTCAAAATGTGGCCCGGGAATGGAGTTCTGGGAAGTCGAAGAGCACGAAGTGGCCTACAGTTGGCTCCGGGCATTCAGAATGTGGCCCGGGAATGGAGTTCTGGGAGGTCGAAGAGCACGAAGTGTGTGACTGTTGGCTTAAAACGACTTCTGCGGCACCCTGTCCGGCACCCGCCCAGACCCCCCTGTGGAGTCATCTGCTGCTCTCTTTTGAGACTACTAGAAACCTATCAGTCTTCGCTGTTAGGTAATTCTTCCGGCTGACGTTCAGCTTGTTTCTGCGGCGCACGAAAAAAATCCACACTGCTCCTTCCTCCAACCTCTCCCCAATCCCTGTCCTCCCCTCCCTCCCCCCTCCCCCCCCGTCACTCGCCATCGTCGTCCGCATCATCGCCGTTGCCGCCGCAGCTGCCGCTCGCTTGACCTCGTCGACGCCGCCGCTGCTGGCTGAGCAGCAGCGCGTGCCAGCCTTGCCAGCAGCGCCGCCGAGGACGACCTCCTCCAAGGCCAAGAAGGACGCCTGCTCGACCTGCCGGCAGACACCCTGCAGCATCTGCACGGTGGCCTCGGGGACGACGGCGGCGACAGCAACGACGACGGCGGCGACGAAGGGGGAGGATGAGAAGAGAATAGAAGAACAAGGCGGAAGAGGGCCACGCGGCGTGGGAGGGGGAGGGGGAGGGGGAGGGGAAGGATGAGTAGGGGGAGGAGGGGGAGGTAGAGGAGGAGGAGGAGGAGGAGGAGGAGGAGGAGAAGGAGGAGGAGGAGGAGGAGGAGGAGGAGGAGAAGGAGGAAGAGGAGGGGGATACTGAGGAGGCTCCACGTGTGGCCACCGCAGCTACGCGGAGAATGCGCGGAGCGTGACGAGCGATAACTGAGGCTTACGCTCGCGCCTCCATGAATTGCAGTTGGGCTCTGCCAGAATGCCACGTTTTGACGCATCGGATTAAACGCACTATGACGTAAGGCAACACCATTTGCAACCGCGCGCACGGTATCGGCAGTACTCCACGAGGGCTTCGACATCATGACCTTATCCTCGAGGTCCTGCTGGGGCCAACTAGAACACGGCGAGAGGGGAGGCGAATCAGGGTAGGCGAAAGCAGGGCAATCAAAACAGACGGACAGGATCACCAGCCCTCAGTCATGCTAGCACTGCGCTGCAAATACTTCACCCGAAGAGGGAAAGAGCTGAATGCTTTCTGAAGGACAAGCATTCGCTGCTGAAGGGCACGTTCAACTTCCCCTGGAAATCTGCACACGGGGCTTGCGGCAAGCAGGGGACGGAGTCAACGGCATTGCACACTTCGTTGATCCAACATAATGGGCCAGGTGACCCCAAAACATACCCGTCGCTTGGTCGAAAACACCTGGATACTAGCCACAGTGAAGTGGTAATTGGTACACTGTGGCCGTCAGAGCCAACTCCCGGTCAGCACACTCGAGCGAAGTACCCAGACGACGCATCTTGCGCTACATCGCGGATCGAAGGTCCATGGCGTTTATGGCTTTCGCCTTCAGGATGGATGCGAGCCGTCGCGGTCACATCGGTAATCCGAAAGCCCTTATAACGGCGACGAGGCGACGATCGAAAGCAGTGCCCCGGCACTGCTTTGAACGCGTTCAAAGCAGTGCCCCGGCACTGCTTTGAACGTATGATATGATGATATGATGATGATTATGATTGATGATGATGATGATTTTTCCAGCGTACACTGTCCGCAACTGCGGCAATCAACATCATGCTCCACTTGCCCGCAACTGCGGCCATCACCAACGCTGCGCCTCGAAGCTCGCGGAGGGCGCTCGGCAGGTCGCCCGCTCGAGCCCCACTCGACTTCACGCTGAGGAGGCGAGCCCTCAGGGGCATTGTCCGCAACTGCGGCATGATCAGAGGGCCACCACTGCGCGCCATCAGCGCCCCATTCGCTCGAGCTCCAGTCCCACCAGGACCAGCCCTGCCATCTCGTGGCGGGACTGCGCGCCTCCCATGCGCCGCTGCCGCTGGCGTCCCAGGACCCAGCCGCCACTGCGGCACAAGAAGGGGTCGCATCGTCGCCGTTGGCAGCTTGCGGCGGTGGCGTGTTCCCAGCTCGCTCAGCCCCAGCGTCTCTCCCCGCAACTGCGGTTCCCATCTGGGGTCGGACGCCCTTCCCCGCAACTGCGGTGTCCGCGTAGCTGCCCTTCTTGCCGCCCTTCTTGCCGCCCTTCCTGCCGCCCTTCCTGCGTTCCAACCTCGCGGCGAGTCTTTCAGGTGACCTGCGGCACGTATTGTGCGTGAAAGCCACCAGAGGGAAGTGCGCTCCGTGCCTCGCCCTGCCGAAGGCGCCATGCCATATCTTGTCGTCGAGGTTGCCCTGCTTCACTCTGAAGGGATAGCGCACCCAATCGTCGCGTTCCCTGCGCGCCATCCTTTGCTCGAACTCCGCAACTGCGGTCAAGGATTCGCCAGATGGCGTCAGGAAGGCGCGCATCTTGTTTTCAACGGGCTCAGCCTTGGGCACGTAAGTCTGAAGCATCTTCCCAGGGCCATTCGTGTAGTCGAAGACAGGGAAAGACGGATCATGCTGGGTCGTCAAGAATCCGCCCTCACGGTCGTGCAGAACACTCAGGCCATGGTGAAGCTTGTACTGCCCAGGACAGTTTATGAACAAAATCGCCATGCTGTCTGCCCTGGGCTGGCCGCCTGCTGTCTTCCAGGGGGTCCACGCGGCGACGTCCACAGTCAGGCCGCAATTGCGGCACCAGGACACAAGCTGGAACATGCACATGTTGAAGTCCCCCATGCAGACCTTCACGTCCCATTCCCTGACGTAGGCGACGAACCAGTTGTAGAACTCATGGAGCTTCGTGACGCCCCAGTCTTGGTTGGCCAAGCTGTGGTGGACGTGCACCGCCATGACGTTGAAGGAGCCCCCCAAATGGGGCACGGCCTGGTCCAGGTGGACGCGCACCACCATCGCCCTGGAGTACTTGTTGTGCAGCTTTGGCGCAGGAGCCTCCGCAACTGCGGACTGTTTCTTCTTCTTCTTCGTTTTGGACTTCTCCTGCTTGTGGAAGAGTCTCGCAAAGTCTACGTGTTCAATGTGGCCGCCACTGCGGTCCCTCATGCCAACAAGGAGGGTCCCTGATGGCTCGCCGCCCTTAACGCACAGGTAGTTGTATTGAGTCCGACTCCGAAACCTATCGTCCGCAACTGCGGCTGCACTGTCCCTCGCGTCGTGCTCCCCACTGAGTACCGCGCAGGTCTCGTCGTCGCACTCGCAGAGGGCGATGATCTGGGCAGGGTTCGCGCGGAGCTGCGCCCACTCGTCCGCGCGTTGCGTGGGTCTAGCTGCAGTCCCTCCGAAGTTGGCCACGTAGAAGCCGACCCGTCCCGCTTCGAACTCCGTTTTCTCCTCCCATGCGTCGACAAGAGCTCTTTGTTTTTCCGACAGATTGCTTGTCTCGATGATGGGCACCCGTTTCCAGGTTCTCCGCGACGACAACACTCTCGGCATGTAGGAGTCATGTGCTGCCGCAACTGCGGCTCCCGCACCTCCCCGGGACTCAGCCTCGTCAGCGGAGGCAGCCGAGGACGCGACGGTGCTGTCGCCATCTTGCGTCCGCTGGTCGTCGTCATCATCCGCAACTGCGGCTTCCTCGTCTTTGCCTCCCTCCTCCTCCTCAGCGTTGTGGATGAACACCGTTCTGGCGAATCGAGGTCCACGGTCCATACTCCCTGAGGATGCGCTCGGGCGCGCGGGCGGCCACATGCTTGCGTCTTCGCGTGCGCCACCTCGAGCCACGGTGGCTACGGAAATGGATCGTGAATGGGCATGGGGTCGGATGGAGGGAGGAGACAAAGAGGATTCGAGGAGTGGCAGAAGGAGGGCGAGGACTCAAAGGAACCGAAAGAACAACAAATGGACTGGCGGAGAAGCAGAAGGAGGGCGACGATTGCAAGGGACTGTGAAAGGATTATTTTCACAGCAGCAGGAAGACCGCAACTGCGGTTTTGCCTCATCTCCTGCCCGCGCGGGAGCCGCTTGGAAAAACAACTTCCCTCTGGACTTCCTGTGGGTCCGCAACTGCGGCCTGCATCACGCTAGGGCTGGGATTACCAGCGCCATTTGCCCTCCCAGGGTTCTCACTGTTTCCGAATGCACGAACTGCGACAGCGCCGAACGGTTCCCAGACGCCGCGTCGTTCGCGACTTTTTGCAGCCACCCAGCAAACGTGAGCGGCCATTGCTCCTTGTGCTGCTTGCACATCTCCTCGTCCCAATGCGTCTTGAACCATGCCCACTCCCCCCTCTGCTCGTCTGAGAGGACGCCTTTTCCGCGAGCCAGGCGATCCAGAGCTGCCATCCTGTTTTTCTTGATCTTGAACTCCTCGGGATTCCACTGCGCTAGGGCGTGTTTGTTAGCCAAAGCCGTTTCCACCGCAACTGCGGCCTCCTTCTTTGCCCTCAAGGCGGCCTCGGCCTCTCGAATCTGCTTCTTGAGATCGTGCAACGCCTTCGTCCTGTCGTTCGCTTCCAGAGCCAGGCGCCGCTTTTTCGCCACCACTGCGGCTTCGTGGTCTCGCTGGGCAGTCAACGCTCGTAGGACCTCGTTGTCCTCCCGCGCCAGCTCTCTCAACCGCTTCTTTTGTTTGTGTTGTTGCTGTCGGCAATCCTGCGCTAGTTTCTCCATGCCCACTTGGCGCAGCATATCTTCCGCCTCGCGGAGCGTTTCTGCCAAGGACGTCGCCACTGCCACCTGCTCGGCCGCCTCTGCGTCGACCACGCAGTCCATGGATACCGAGGATCCTTGAGGCCCAGGTGCCGCAACTGCGGCATCGCACTGTTCCGCAAGAGCCTCGGCCCACGAGGCCTCCTCTTGCTCTTCGTCCTCCTCGTGCTCCTCGTGCACCTCCTCCTCCTCCTCCTCCCCGCCCTCCTCATCGCCCTCCTCGTGGCCTGGCTCCTGGCCTAGCGCTTCGTCGCCGAGCTTCTCCAACACGGAATCTGTGGCGTCGTGTTTCTCGTATTCGTGTATGAGACGCAGCACGTCATTGTAGGACCATTTCAAACGTTTCTGCTCGCATTCTTCCCTCACCTCCGCGACTGCGGTGTCCACTTTTGCTCGCAGCCCCCCTGCTTCCCAGAGTTCCGCCGCCTCTCGGCAAATCTCGAGATCTCCTGACTTGTCGAAGGGCGCTCGAATTCCCACTTTCAGGAAACCTTTCGCGGCGTCCAAGTGCAACTGCACATTCTCCAACACTGACAGCATCAAGTCGGCGCAATCGGAACGCCGCAACTGCGGCACGTGCTTCCCCAACGCCATTTGCTGCACCAGCGCTTTGGTCTCGAGGGCAATGTACCGGCGCTTCACGTGCTGGTTCAAGTCCGTGTCCACGGGCTGCGCAACTGCGGTCGCCCCCCGCCGTGAATGATCAGCACGTAGCCGCGCTGCCAGGCGAGTCTCCGCACAGCGTCTGCTTTGTGCGGGGAATGGTCGTCGGCCATGAGGATGCGCCACTTTCCCCGCAACTGCGGGTCGTCGGGCCAGGCCCGCAAGTGCCGCTGCAAGAATGATACAA